ACCTGGGGATGTGTCTGCCCTTCCCTGCTCCTTTTTCTAGATGTGTAATCATCTTGCTCTATACATTTGGCTGCAGTGTGTAGCACATTCAATAGACATCACAGTGTCTGCAGTACCAATGCAGAACATCACTAACAGGGTAGAAAGTCCCATGCTGTGCAGGGGAGTGAATTCCAGGATGGATTGCAGTGACAGTGCAGGAGAGGAACAGGGAGGTTGTTTTTATTCTCATCTGTCTGCAATTTCCCATTCTATTTCCTAGGAGCTGTATCCATTTTTGTTATATCTTTAAATACCCTGCTCTGTCTGTGTTTTATAAGGAGCTTATATGGAAATGGGAGTTAATGTGAGACTATTAGAATGGCCACTTTGACAGGGAAGAAAGAATAAAGATTAAGGGGAGAGATTCCCATTTTTCTTCATTTGTTTTAGAATGAAAAGCAACCCATTGTTAGGAGACCATCAAAAGCTCTTCTATAGATCTGAAGTCTGTGCTATTGTGCTGTCTCACATGTTGCTGTGTCTATGCATACTTAGTGCAGTATGATGCAGTGAATGCTGCCTTCACCAGTCACAAGTGCTTAGAGCAATGTAGTCTGGAGTGGATATTTCTTCACAGAGTATCATGTCCTCTCCCACCAAAACTATATCCTATACAGTGTTTTATAGCTTCTCTGTGGCTGAAGAACTGGGACAATTTGCAACAGCTGCTGGAAAATTCCACTTGAAAAAATTCCTTCCTTTCCTTCCCAGCGCACAGTGCCAGGGGCACACTTTTCCTGGTATTATTTTTTTAATCATACTAATGAACAAATCTAGACCTTAGCCTCCCACTGATCTCAGACTTACCCGATTAGACTGATGAGCAATCCAAGAATGATTAAAGTGAGTGTGTGGTGCTGTGCTCTGACAGTGATCCAAGCCTGGGTTTCCCATCTATTTCCAACCTATATTTTATGGTGGTAAGCACGAGAAAGGAAAGCAGAGGTATTCATAGAATGTGTTCATATTTTAAGTCCTAGATCTGCAATCACACACACATGTGGTTTTATTTTACTCAAAAATATAATCTCATTAACCTCACTGGGCTTGAAAGGGGAAAATATTTCCCCTATGCTGCAAGTGCAACTGAGCTGTTTTCCTACATAGTGCTTTTGTTTGATTGCAGGGCTGATTTTGTTGCTCACTTGTATGCCTTGGAATGTGTGGTGAGAAATTCTGATGAGTGATACCAATCTCTCTGCGCTTTGGGCCAACCTTCAAGCTGTGCTGCTCCTTGCTGTACTTTGAAATACAACCATTGTGTGCAGGATTTCATCCAGCCTCAGACTGGATCTCCTTGCCCCAATAGCTGAGGCTCTTGCTGTAGAAAATAAAGCAACGTGAGCACCTCTGTCACATGTTTGCTCTTTCAGCTTTCCCTAATGAGTGAAAAGCATGCAGTGTTCTCACTGGCATCCTGCTTTGGTGATGCCCATGGGTGATATTTGCAGGCAGCAGCCTAGATAGTTGCTCATATTCCTTTATATTTCTGCTCCTCTTTCTACCCCCAACTGAGTACTTCTGGAAAAGGGCAGGGATTGAAATGAAAACTGCAAATTTGTTTTGCTTTGTGTTGAAATGCTACAGGAAGTTGGTCAGGAGGCTCAACCCCAGGTAGACAATTTAACCTTCAGAGCTCATTTGCAAGAGAAACAAATATCTGGACACACTGGCTGGTCTAGAACTTGCTGAGGAGCTGAGAGAGATTCATGCTACCAGCTGAGACGTGTTTGAGGGTATTTATGGTGCGCTGGTGTGAAAGATTGGGGCTGTGCCAAGGTAATTGCTTTTTTGCCTGATTCTTTGTCATTTATCAGTGTTTTTCAAGTCTGTATCATTAACACAGAAAATGGGATCCAGTGCACCCTCAGCAAGTTTGCTGATGACATCAAGCTGAGTGGTGCAAGCGGCATAACAGAAAGAATGGATGGCACCCAGAGGGACCTGGAAAGGCTGGAGAAGTGAGTCCTGATGAGGCTCAATGAGGCAAAGAGAAGGGTACTGCATTGGTTTGGGGCAATCCCATTTATGTGTACAGACTGGGAGAAGAGCTCACTGAGAGCAGCCCAGTAGAGGAAGGCTTTGGGGTCATTGTGGACAAAAAAGCTGGACATGAGCCATCAGTGTGCACTTATAACCCAAAAGGCCAACAGCATCCTGGTCTGCATCAGCTGAGGGGTAGGTGAAGCCCTGGTACTGCTGCTTGGAGCTGTGGGTGCCCATCCCTGGAGATGCCCAAGGCTGTGGATGGGGACCTGGGCAGCTTGAGCTGGTGGATGGCAGCCAGCCCGTGGCAAGGAGTTGAGACAGGATGGGCTTTAAGATCTCAAGCTATGCTCTGATTTTATTATTTTCTTACTCCTTCTTGAGCAATTTTCATTTGTAAGCGTGGTATGATGCTTAGATCCATCTGCTTCTCTTAGAATAAGCAGAGTGAAGGTCTTGAAGCATCAGAGTCCTTTCATTTTGAGAATTTCCCCCTCTAATTCAAAACCTCCTCTAACGTGAACTGGTAACAAAAAGCGTCCTTCCCAGTTGAAGGCATTATTTCCATAGCAAGACAAGGAGAAAGCAGCAGAGAGAAGTTCATTTGCACCTAACAATTCCTAGCAGACATTGCGATAGTTACACTCTGAGAGGGGGGAAATATCTAAGCAGAGCTGCCCTGCTTCCTTGTGGCTGGCATTGTTCTTAGCAGGTGAGTTCTTCCTAGTTGTGGCCAAACTCCGTATGAATTATATCCTTCATGCTAAATGTCAAGATTCAAAAGATTAGGTAATTATCAGTACAATCACTCTTTATACTGGTTATACTTCCTGTACAGCATGGCAAAAACCGAAACTAAGCAAAACCCACAGCAATCCTGAAGGTTTCAGGTTGCCCAGAGGAGCTGTTGGGTGCACCATCCCTGGAGGTTCCCAAGGTCAGGTTGGAGGGGGCCCTGGGCAGCCTGATCTGGTGCAGGGCAGCCAGCCCACTGTAGGGAGTGGGGCAGGGGGGCTGTAATGTCCCTTCTAACCTAAGCCATTCTGTGATACCATGGTTCTATGATTTGATAAAGGGGGTCTGCATTGTTGCACGACTCCAGATGTGTACACTTAAAAAAGCTGGTTTAGGTCCTGACTCTGCAATCTGTTTTTGGGTTTGATCTTAAAATCACCTGGGCTGAATGTTTCCTCCTCCCATTTCAGCTTATCCAAGGCTGTAACCTCTTCACTACTACATTTGGGAGCTCCACTGACAAGAATCTGCCGCCCAGCATCCTGTGACTGCTCATCTGAAATTTTAATTCACCATTTCCCTACCCGGACCTTTGATAGCAAACCATGTGCAAGACTGTTGAGTAGGATTGAGTGGCTGCAGCCAGACCAGCGGGCAGCTGAACCCCAGCAAAAAATTCTGTGGGGCAGGAGACACGGGAATAATAAAAGGTAGAGACTGGGATGACTGTTTGATGTGGGACTGCAAGGACTGGGGAGATTTATGACCATTAGACACAGAAGTAATGACAGTGGTGTAGGAAATGACAGTGAGGCTGTTTATTTGAGTGAGACTTTGGGGTGAAGTCTATTTCCCAAGGAGGTGTCCTTATTTTGAACTGGCTTATTTTTATAAATGTTTAATGCAATGTGATTTCTTTGCTGGCACAGGGAGGGAAGCACCAAAACTCCAGCCTAGCATATATACTTCTTAGGATTCAGATATCTCCTTTATTGTATATGCCAAAAACAAGAATGCAAATAGCACACTTGAAAAATTTGTGAACTTTGAATAGCGTCTATTTGATGTAGGGAAAAAAAACAACATCAACAGCAAACAGAGCTGTTCCGATAATGACATAAATTAGGTTTTTTTGGCAAGGACTGCTATAAATGATAATGGCAGAAGCATGATATGCATATTCCAACTGTTATACATGACATATTACCAAATAACTTACTTTGCACGGGGTAATGGGGAGACTGAATTCTCTGGGTAGGGCAGAATGAAGAATTAATGCTGAGTGATGTGCAAAGTCTTCCTAATGGCTGAGACGTGGCCTTCATCATTCATTGTTTTTCTGTTCTGTGCATATGGTTTCTTTACAGTACTGCTGAAATGGCTCTGTTGCTCAGCAACAGCAAGCTGAAATAGCACCAGTCAGAGAAAATCTGCTGATTTACACTGGTCATAAAGTGTGTCTTCTTACCAGAGTGCAGATTTTGACAGAAGAGTGAAAGCCAGCCCTTGCCTTTGACCTTTTGTATTCACGGTACCAGCTGGGGAGATATCAGTCCAGATAAAGAAAGCTAGCCTTTACCTGAGTTTTTGGCAGATGGACTGGTGCATCCTCTGGGCGGAGCAGAACTTACTCTGACACCAGTCTGGAGAGTCAGTGGCTTCTCTAGGATTGAGTTCTGACTTTCTGGGCTCAAGGAGGGCTTCAGCCCTGTCTGTAGGTCTGCAGGCACAAAACCATGCCTTTGGCATGCCTTAGACAGGAGCAGGCTTGGCTCTTGTGCTTACTGAACGTTACTATTGCAGCCAAATGCCATAAGTGTAATGAACAGAAGTTAGAAGTTTCCTAAATATCTACACTCCTGCCCTGATTACATAATTTTACTTCTCTACTTTTCTTAGCTATTTAGGTAATTTAAGAGAGAGCCTCACTTTGGAAACACAGAATCACAGGGTCTGGGAGGGATTCTCTGGAGATCACTGAGTCCAACTCCCTTCACTAATGCATGTTTCCTGCACTAGATTGCAAGAGGAACTATGCAGGTGGGATTTGAATACCTCCAGGGAAGGAGATGGAAGAGCTTAGAGACAATAAATAGAGAGAAACTTATACCAAACTCAAATAAATGTTTGTTTAAAAAAAACCCAAAAAACTCCATGTGGTATAATGCGGTTATTTACCAATTAAAATACAGTAAATAACACATTTTACAAGCAATCTCCAGGATGTCAGTCATACAGAAAAACTGTAAAATACATGAAAATGCAAAGGTTCATCAGAAAATGCTGCCAACAATTCATCCCAAACGCTTCTCTCTTGGGTCTTTTTGGTGCTCATAAAAAGGTGGTATTTTTTTTTTTTCCCAAGCTCAAAAATCAGCAGTATGAATTGTAAGCTACTTTTCTTTTATCTCTGCCTCAACAGGAACAGGAGTGACATTATGATCAGTGGTTGACAACTCTGCCTTTGTCAGGGGAGTTGGATCCAGGTGAACTTTAAGGTCCCTTCCAACCCAAAGCATTCTATGATTCTATGATTGAAGTGCATAGGCTAATGCCAACTGAATGATCTAAGCATGGAGGAAAATATCTGTGGTGAAAATGTATCTGGCCCGTATTCTCTAACTGGTATCTTTGCTACCAATTATTGCCACAGATCTATGTTCAGTACCAGCTGTGCATCTCTTGGAGGTCTGATTAATCAATCCCATTATGAATGATCCGGTGTGCTGGTAGAAGTTATGATGTTGGGTAACTCCCATTGCCTTTTATAAAGGCCTTGAGGTAAAACTGAATGCTCATATTCCCCTAACTGCTTTGCATGACATCATTACTTGAAGTTGATTACATCAATTCAGAGGCTGAGAAAATCAGGTCAAGTTAGTTCTGCTTGTGGGTTGGGCTAAACAGAGCCATTCTTTTTTCATAGAGAAGAGGTAGCAGTGGCTTTGCTGCTGTCCCCTCCTTTGCTAACCCATAACCAAGTTTGAGTATTAAGTGAAATGCTGATATAAACATAAAATCATTGTATTTATTATTATAGAAAAACGTTCTTTTTACTGGCATCTACATTCTTGGCCTTGAATTTTCTGTGCAACAGGGTAGGATTGAAACAATTTTTTTCACGAACTGTTGTAATCTAGTACAAACTAGAACACCTCAAATCTGGGGCTTATAGGCAATTCCTTCTTTCTCCTTATTTTGACTTTCATGACAAGACTTGCGAGTATTAGCAAAGCTGCTTGCAATTCATCTGTGTCCATCACATGTGTGATGGTTATTAATTCACAGCTTTCTCCACTGGGCTTGAAGATTTTCCAGGAAGATTTCTTCATTTCCTATTTCCTACTTAGCAAATGGTACTCTTTGTTCCAGTTCTCTGCCACTATGAAGCTCTCTAAGGTGAATCCTATTGCTGTAGTAAGCTGGTCTTTAAGCCTTTAAATAGTACTCCTAATAAAGAGCTGAGATATGCTCTGATCTTCGTTACTTTACATCTGATTACAGTGACTCAGATTTCACAAATAGAATTTTCTTTGCCACCTCTGAGTCACTTCCCCACTTTTTAAAACTCAAGTGTCTTTCCAGGCATATGTGCTTCTAAACTGTGACAGGTTGGTCTTATGAAAATCCTTCCAGCACAGCAATTTTCTATCTAATCAGGGCAGAACAAAAAATTGTGATGGAAAAAGTCTCCCTGTTCAAAGATGATGGGGCTTTTGGGGTTTTTGGTCTTTTTTTTTACTTTAGAGCACAAAAATATGTATGTATGTATGTATGTATGTATGTATTTATTTATTTATTCTTTTTAGGAGGGAACCTTGTGCTCCTGCCTTACAATCTGTGAGGGATGTCTCTTATTCCGGCTTTATACGTCACAGCAAGACATGTGATGTTTCTTCATCTTCAGATAATATGCTCGATTGGCTTCTGGATAGGTGACTTTGGAGAGCGGAAGCTTGTAGATGGCTGAGTGGTTTGTGGTCATTAACAGAAAGGTCAGCGCGGATAAACAGAAAGACCAGGTTCCTGGTGGCACCCCGAACTGCACAGAAAAACACAAAACACATATTTTACTGCCTGTCTTTCATTTGGACTCTCTGTCACAGGAATAAATTGGAATAAATTTTTTCAAGGAAATCTTGGCTTGGCTTTGTACGGAAGATCTCTGTGGCAATGTAGACTTTGTGTATGAGATTTTGATGTTGTTCACTGGCCTTTAGCATCTATTAGCTTTGGTGAGAAGGATGATTTCTCTGTGCACCTGCAGAGACTATGGATGGACCTAAGATAGGACCTAAGACTTTGGCTTCATCAGGGGAAGATCATGCTGATCCAATCAGGTGGCCTTCTATGGTAGAGTGACAGCATGGACAAGGGAAAGGTGACTTTCCCAGGTCATTCACCTGGACTTGAGCAAGGCCTTCGACATGGTCCCCCACCACATCCTTATCTCCAAATTGGTGAAGTGTGGATTTGATGGGTGGATCACTCAACAGATAAGAAACTGGTTGAAAGGCCACAGACAGAGGGTGGTCATCAATGGCCAGGTGTCCAGGTGGAGGCCTGGAGCCGGTAAGGCTCTGTCATGGGACTGGTGCTCTTTGACATCTTTAGCAGTGACATCGATGACGGAATTGAGTGCACCCTCAGCATGTTTGCTGACAACACCAAGCTGAGTGGTGTGGTTGACACGGTGGAAGGAAGGAATGCCATTTAAAGGACCTCAACAGGCTGGAAAGGTGGGCCCATGTGAACCTGATGAGGTTCAACACAGCACAGTGCAAGGTTTTGCACTTGGGCCGGAGGAATCCCAGGCATCCATGCAGACTGGAAGGAGCGGTCCTTGAGAGCAGCCCTGCAGAGAAGGACCTGGGGGTCCTGATAGATGAAAAGCTGAACATGAGCCAGCAGTGTGCATTGCAGCTTGGAAAGCAAATGGCATCCTGGGCTCCATCAGCAGAGGGGTGGCCAGCAGGGACAGGGAGGTGATCGTCCCCCTCTGCTCTGCTCCTGTGAGGCCCCATCTGCAGTGCTGTGTCCAGGTCTGGAGCCTCCAGTACAAAAAGGACAGGGAGCTGATGGAGAGGATCCAGAGGAGCCACAGAGATGATCAGGGGACTGGGGCACCTCCCCTATAAAGACAGGCTGAGGGACCTGGGCTTGTTCAGCCTGGAGAAAAGAAGGCTGCAGGGTGACCTCATTGCAGCCTTTCAGTGCCTAAAGGGAGCCTGCAAACAGGAGGGGAGTCAGCTCTTGGAAAGGGTAGATAACTGCAGGACAAGGGGAAATGATTTGAAATTGAGGGAGAGAAGATTTTGGTTGGATGTCAGGGAGAAGTTCTTTCCTATGAGAGTGGTGAGGTGCTGGAACAGCTGCCCAGAGAGGCTGTGGATGCCCCGTCCATCCCTGGAGGTGTTCAAGGCCAGGTTGGATGGGGCCCTGGGCAGCCTGCTATTAAATGGAGGAGGTTGGTATTAAATTGGTGGAGGTTGGTGGCCCTGCTTGTGGCAGGGGAGTTGGAACTTCATGATCCTTGAGGTCCCTTCCAACCCTGGCCATTCTGTGATTCTGTGAAGATAGGAGTGCACACAGAAACGTTCATTTACCTTAACTTTGTGCTGTTCTCCTGACTGACTTTTTGTACTTGGTCAAAGGAACTAAACTGAATTTAAGGTTTTTTTACACACGTGGACAAACCTTTTCTCATCTACTTCAGGCAGAAAGTATGGCCTGTGGAAGATCATACAAGCTTCTAGGAAGAAAAATTGTAAATTTAAGTGGGAACACCATCCCCTGGATAGCCCATGATTCCTCATTCAGATCTATTCTGCCTTCGGCTGAATTGCTTTTTGGATCTTCATGTTTCACCTCAGAAGTCAGGAAAACATAGTATGTGTTTAAACCTGTTTTTGGAAACGAAACCTTAGCTAATAAACTACTTACCACAGACAACATATTCGTCATTGTCGCTCCCAGATAGGCACTGAAGAGTGCTGTGGAAAAAAAAAGATAATTTCAGGTGAGTTTGGTTGCTCATAGCATGGAGGAGACCAGCAGGAAGAAACATCTCTCACGCTGCCTTGGGTAGTTCAACCAGTGCTTATGAAAATGGCTGGGAAGCCCTCTCTTAAAAATCTTTCCTTTGCAGCATGCCCTCCAACCTCCTGTGGAAAGGGCAAAACAAAGAAGACATGGAGTGATAAAAAGTGTGAATATGGAAATAGAATCTTCTGAAACATGCACTGACAAGGAAATAGGTTGATGGATGGAGTTAAATGGGAAAATAACCCTTCCATTTCTCCTGCCTCTAGGGCTAGAAGGTGGGTCAATGAGATACAAAGCTAAATCTTTTTTATATGCACACTGAATGAGCAATAGTTTAACTCCCAGCTCACTGTGATATTGAAATTTCATACTGAATTGCCTTATAAATAATTCTTCAATCATTCTGTGTTGCTTAGCTCATGCCTCTGGTATCCATTTCAGTAGACTGGGAAAATTATGCTGCCTAATTCCAGATGCAGACTGATCTTGAGCTCCAGTTTTCTTAGTGTACATAATTAGTCTCAAAATGAAGCATCTGATTTCAAAGATGTTAGTTAATCTACTGATTGCTTCTTTTGTTTTGAACACAGCTCTTAGCTGCAAGTCAACACACTGTTTTTATCTTGTCAGGGTGCATTAGAGCAACAGCTCTAACATCCACCTCCACCGTCTGTCTGTCTAGCCCATGTCTGTCCAAAAGTGGCTATGAGAGGCTATCCACCTCTATCCATAGAGGTGGATACTAGTCCACCTCTAGTATCAGTGCATCCTGTCTTGTTTCAAAAGGAAGTCATGTTAGTAATGAAAATCCATAGGGTATACATACCACAGGCAATTGCCAGCAAATGTGTCTGCCAGGTGAATGCGTAGAACATGCCCCCAATGGCAATGCATGAGAGGGAGCTGTTGTAGCTCCATAAACCAGAGTAGATCGTGCTAAAAGGTGTTGCTAAGCTCAGTGCTGCCAAAAAAAAAAAGTCAAAAATATATCATTTCTTAGCCAAACAGCTGAGAAATAGCCCAAACTCTGTTTTGGGGAGCTCAAGCTTGCATGTCTATGCTGAATTCTGGTTTGCTGCCATGTTGTGACAGTCCAAGACTAAAGACACTTCAGACTAATGTACTCGCTGTGGATTTTCCCTGGTACTGCTGAGCTGAATTTGGCCTTACAGTTGCAGCAGCAGATATATTAGTCAGCGAGTGCACATTTAAACTCTGAACGAGTCCCTAAGGCCTGCACAGTCAGACTTGTGGCAATGACTTTTACTAAGCTGCTCCTAAAAACATCAAGATATATCCAGAAATGAAGTATTTCAGGATAGAAAGCCATTTCAGCCAAAAGTGCATTACTTTCTTCCGAAGATTTCCACCGTCGTAAAATGGGGTAAGAGAATGTGGAAGTCAGTCAAAAGAATTCTTAAAACAGAAGAGCTCGTTTTTTTTTCAAGCAATATTTCTCCAGTGGAAAACACATTTGCAACTATAAATGTTCCAGCCACTCTTCTTCCTCTTTTATTCTCTGTATATACCTGTGGATCAAATAAAGTCCTTACCTGCCAACATCCCCACTGCTGATCCGACTGCTGCATGCAGGCAGATGAGTGGAGATGAGATAAATAGAGCAAGCAGGAAAATCCCCCCAGTCCAGGGATTATCACAGCCATAAACCTGGCCCACCCCAATTGGAATGGATTGCAGCAGCTGAGTGAATGAAAGAGAAAAAAAAGACATTTTTTTTTTTTTTCTTAATCCTCTTTGTTGCTTTGTTTTAAAAAAAAAACAACAAAAAAACCAACCACCAAAAAACCAACAAAATCAAGCCAAACCTAGTTTAGATGGTCGCTTTCAACCTAGTTTGGCTGAGAGGTAGAAATTCTGTTTGTTTCAGGAGGTTTTATGAAAATGGTGGCTTGGATGGGAAGAAAATGATGGACCATTCCCAAAGGAGTGGATGTTTCCCTGCTTTGGACAGGAGAGAAGAACCCAGATTGGCTGCAGGTATAGAGATGGTTTAGAGAAAATTTCCTTCAAACTGCTCTGTTCCATCAGCGTGGAATGGTTCGTTTATAGTACCCATAAAATTATGTGTCACGGTAAAGGTTCTTTTGGAAATGCAACCTGTGTGGTTTGCTATTTAGTGCCAATTAACTTCCTTAATCACTCCCTGGGAACCCCTTAAAATAGACCACTGAGCCTTAGGGGAAAGTGCTAACTCTTCTGTCTGCTGTTTACTGTGCTATGCAGCAGAATAAAATGCTTCTTTGGAAAGGTCCCACTTGATTATTAACTAAAAAAAGTTTGTAACATTTCTGTCTTAGTAATATCTGCTTTATCATGCCTTCTCAGAAAGACTGCTTTCTGATGCATTTTTACAAGTACTCTGAGTGGAAAGCTAAAAATGACTTATGAGTTAACTGAGCCTTAGCATAGCCTTTGCTATGAGGTGGTCATCAGTATCTGCACAGTAATGGATAAATATGTTGCAGACAGCCTTTGAAGACTGTACTATAAATATTTAGATTCAACTGCAAGGAAATGATACTATATCCCCCAAAATTCTCTTGTTTTCAGGATATCAGAAATCTCAGTTCCTGGAGTAAAGCCTTATGTATTGGATAAGACCTATTTTGTAAGTGCAGTGTAAATGTATTGCCAGGCCTTATGATGGTGATGTAAAGGGGGATAAGACGGTTCCATAATGCTTTTAATGGAGAAAGCTGTTTAGGGCATTCTACCATTGACATGTCAGCGTCTGTCCAGGTGATGTTTGGTGTTGATGTTGCAGGCTGAATGACGGTTGTAGGGAAGAAGAGGTTATGGGGTCCTGATGCAGCCAGATAGAGGGTCAAGGCCAAGTTGAAAGGCAAGGTGAAAACAGGCAGATCCCACTTAGAGAAGACTGAACCTAAAGCGCTGGTGAAAACAGGGCTGAAAGAAGAACAAAATGGTCTCACTAGGAGATCAGCAAATTCCCTGCCTTCCACAGGTCACTTAGCAATGTATAGATTCCTGCTGTGCTATGCAATATGGTACGTGGTGAATTTGGTGAACCTGAGGGGACTAGGGTCCTCTGGTCCTCCACTGGTGCGGAGTTATTCCCCAGATCAATAGCTGTGCTTAGTTTTTTATTTAATTTTTATTTTCTGAAATACCTGATATGGATTCTGTAGAGGGTACTAATGCCAGGTCTAACTGAACTGGAAAGAAGGCTGTGTGCCTTTGTTCAACCTTAGGGATTGGGTCCATCAGAAGGCAGATATCAAAGGCATACTTATTAAGGTGAGTATAACACTACATAAACTTCTGGCAGATGGATAATATATGGGATCTAGAAATCTCCAACTAGATATCTGGGGACCAAAGACCAGCTTTCAATATTTTCATTATCCAAACACCTGGCAGACTATGGTGCCACATATATCAGTAAAGTATTATTAGCTCTTTGTTTCCATAACCATCAAACATCATATCTTGTGACTACTGAGCAGCCTTTGTGCCTGGTGAGGTAAATTTTCACTGCACTTTTATACAGCAACTTAAATAGATGAAATGCTTGTGGTTGATGATGGCAGGGAATCACAGAATCATGGAATCATAGAATGGCCTGGGTTGAAAGGGACCACAACGATCATCTAATTTCACCTGAGACAAGAATGAACTGATGCATCACATGGCTAACGTTTAGGGCACTGAATTACATAGGACCTGCCATCAATTTTCCTTTTGCTCGTTCTGTTTATTTATGATTATGGGAGTACTACACCTGTTTAAAAGTATAAATTGTAATCCAAGATTTAGAAGCACATACATGCCAGTCATGTTTCTTTTCCTTTGTAGAGTGTATAGCACATAAAGACACAATGGCTCAACCATTCCTTCAGTTAGGAAACCCTGGGGCTGGAGTAAGAAGCAGAGATGTCTCACTTACCATGTCATTGACACCAGTGCCACCGGCAGTAGAAGCCACCAATGGTAATCTCCCTTAGCAGAGAAGACTGCTATGAGCAATCCCACCAAGACCCCATTATAGCCATACAAGCCTGCTGCTATGGCCGATCTGAAGAGAAAAAAAACAAACAACTGTCTTGAAATCTTTTCCCTGCAGGTGCTTCACCTGCATCATCCCTTCCTATCCCATATAACCAAGACTCTCTGATGCTGACCTGCCAAGGCTTGTGTACTGACCTTCAGCTTCACACACCTGAGCACACACTTGAATCCTTTAAGCACACCCTACTCTTTCCACAGTTCTTATTCAGTGTCCTCGCAGACCAGTTGTAGCTGGTGTTGTTGAGAAGATCAGTCTAGCCCTAACAGTTTCAACTAAGGATAGGTGCTCCTTTCATCCACGATTCTTATTTCACATGTATGCGGAAGTCTAATACAGTTTGACACATTACCTGTCTTGACCCAGAATAAGTGCTGTTAAGGTTGAGACAACTGTTCCTAAGCAGCCTGTGAGTGTCCACCATGGGTTCTGCACCAGGAAACCAGCAACTACGATCAGACCACTGAGGGGATTATTGACAAACATCACCTGGGAGATCCCACGCAGCACCCAGTCAACAAACTGGATCATGATGGGCTTATCTGGAAGAGATCAAATTAAGTAATACAAATAACTAAAAGCACACGGGTGAGACTGATTTGGGATAGGTTATTTATTTTTAAACTCGTAAACAGTTTTGGCAGAGTGACTTTGGCAGCATGACCAAAGCAATGAATCAAAAAGACTCTAAAACCTGACTGAGAATGATTATGGTCTGTATTGAAGTCTTGCATCTGGAAAGCTGAGACGAGCAGAGTGGTTGCCAGAGTCCCGTGCTGAAGAGTATCCTGGACCAGTTTCATATACACTGCCTAATTTATGAGGCCTGTGCCTCAGATGGCAAATTGTACGTGTAGCCAATTGCTGATTTATTATGGGGACCAAAGACACTTACCTATGTGTAATTTGGCTTCACAGTGGCATTAGGCTTGATAGAAATGGATCAGCTGGTAGGGGAGGGAATATTCTGAAGAACGGCAGGGCACAGAATAACCATCCTAGCCTGTGTTCTTTGGGACTACATTCATTTTGTCCGTGGCATGTCAGGAGGCAAATGTCACCTCAGCCATCCTCAAGATTTAAGCAGCAGATGTGGCTCTCTGCACAAAGCTGCATTTTTCCCATAGCACAGAAATAATTCAGGGCAGATATCATTTCTGTTCTGCTCCAGCTTGAATCCTGTTACTGAGAAGTTAGTTATTACTCTTTTAATATAATTCTTCTTTGGACTCCCCCAATTAGTTATGGTGAAATAATAGCTTTACCTTTCAGCCAGGCACCAAATTCCTTCATGTCTCCTGTGATGTACCCAACAGCTCTGCAGACTCTCTTTCCACCTCTACTTAACTGACTTTGCTTCTTTGGCTTTCTTTCCCCCCTGGTTTCTATCTTGACATCAACGCTGTTTTCCATGGTGAGGATCTGAGCCTTTGGTAGAATCCAAGGAAAAACAAATAGCATGCAATTCATTGCAATGACTCTTACTGGTGTCTGCTTGTCCTTTTTTCTACATGTTATTTCTCAAATAGAATCATAGAATCATCATAGAATCATAGAATGGCTTGGGCTGGAAGGAACCTCAAGGATCACCAAGCTCCAACTTCCCTGCTGCATTCAGGGCAAACAGCCTCCCTATTTAATATCAGACCAGACTACCCAGTACCTCATCCAACCTGGCCTTGAACACCTCCTGGGACAGGGCATCCACAACCTCTCTGGACAGCTGTTCCAGCACCTCACCATTGTCCTGGTAAAGAAATGTTTGTTTTTTTTTTTTTCTGGAGCTGAAAGAGGAAAATCCTTTGTCTGAACACCTGATTCCCAGGTTTCCTTGAGCATGGTTTCTCTCTTCATGCTCACTTGGGACTTTCCAGACATTCATACAGCCATGGATTTGAACACTCAAAGGAACCACTGCCATTATGTCAGTGTTATTTCACCTGATCTTAACGCCCTGATCAACTGTATTACTTTTTTTTTTTTTTTTTTTTTTCAGAAATCAAGCAGTTCTAATTTAAATGGTGACTTTAAGCAGAGAAAGGTGGCATTAACAGACACTGGCTTCACACAAGTTGAAGTTCATCTCAAAACCCAACTTGTTAAGAGTTTCTATCACACTTAAGAAACTGCTTCAATTATTCCATACACCTCACACAGCTCTAGACAACTTCATTCAGTCAAATGGCTCAGAGGATTGCACCTAACTGTAAAAACTGCTTATAAAAAATGCCTCATAGCTGATTTGTTACTTGTTTTAAGGGCCAGTTCTCAACATGAACTCGGCAAGTTAAAAGCATCCAAACCTTGCCCTGGAGTATGCTCAGTTTTTTGAGGAGGAAAAGAACTAATTGTTGGTCGTTGTTTAGACAAAGAAGATAAAGACCATAGAACCATAGGACCATAGAATCATAGGACCACAGAATGACCTGGGTTGAAAAGGACCACAATGCTCATCCAGTTCCAATCACCCTGCTACGTGCAGGGTCAACAACCAGCAGACCAGGCTGCCCAGAGCCACATCCAGCCTGGTCTTGAATACCTCCAGGCAGGGATGGGGCATCCACAGCCTCCTTGGGCAACCTGTTTCAGTGCCTCACCACTCTCTGGGTGATGAGATGAGATAGAATGTTGAATAAATATAGAAACAGAGATGCCTTGGTTCTCCCCAGTGAGTGCAAGAAGTAAAGAACTTTGGCTGTGAGTTAGTAGTTTAAGTAAGGTGATAGATGCACTGAAGTATTGCAGTTGGTGCTCAACTTGCTCAACTTGCATCTTTAGTAAAAGCCTTCTTGGCAGCTGAAGAAAAGAATCTGTATTTCAGAAATAGGGGTGAAAAACAATTAAAGCAGCCTCCTTCCTGGGCATTATGCTTGCAGATGGGTGGAGGATGTACATCCTGGCCAGTTCCCTGTTACTGCAGATATTATACATAACAATGAGCATTTTATGTCTTTGGGAAATTCCCAACTAATTCAAGGATAAGACCAACATGAAACTAGCTGAAGGCAGGACCAGTATGTAGAAGAATGTGGAATCTGCCTTTGGGTAGGACACAAGGGCAAGGAGCTTAGCTTGAGGAGGGAGAAATGAAAAAGATGAGAGCATTGTTAGGGACAATGTCTCAGTGCTGGAGGGCTTTTTCCTGGCTCAGTTATAATTCATTACTTTGATTCATTAACCTTCGCTTTTACCATATTTTATTCTGAAATAATGGAATAAGTGAATTGGATGCACTTTCACTTAAATCAAAATTTCCAGCCAAGATAAATGCTCTTCATTTGGTGAAAGTGCATTTACATTTTCAATTTAAAGAGTCTTTCTCCTTAGGTAACTTAGGCTCTCTCTGACACTAACTCGTAAAACCACACGCTGTTGCTATTGTACTTTCAAAGAGATGCTCTGTGTCCATGTTTCCCTGCATCCTGAGTAGATACTTTTATTGAGAAGATGAGATATGGAGATGCTCTCCCATGTGGAGTGAAAAGTGCTGGAGCCACTTTCTGGTCCACTTGAACAGTGGAATTCTGTAGTGAGCGTCTGAATGGAGCTTTATTTCTTTCTCATTTTTACCCTGCAGTATGTAATAACTGCATACTCCAAGCCCTTTTATTTTAGATTGGATATAAGAAGATTTACAGTAAAGGTGGAGAGGCAGTGGCACAGATTGTCCAGAGGTGTGGTGGATGCTGGAGACGTTCAAGGTCAGGCTGAGCACCTGATGGAACTGTGGGTGCTCTGCAGCAGGAAGTTAGATTAGATGGCCCTTATGGACCCCTTCCAATTCAAACTATAAGTTTGGTTGTGATGTGTGCTGTGCAGCTTGCACAAACTTTGGAAGGCAGCACTGCACAGTGTAAGCCTAATCTTGGAAAATTACCCAATACCTGCTTTGCACCAGGGTGAGTTTAGGTTGGATATTAGGAAAAACTTTACAGAAAGAGTTGTTAAGCAGTGGAATAGGCTCCCCAGGGAGGTGGTTCAGTCACCATCTCTGGATGTGTTTAAAAACTGTTTAGGTATGGTGCTCAGGGACATGATTTAGTAGAGGGTTGTTAGAGTTAGGGTAGCATAGTTGGATTGTGGTTGGACTTGATGATCTTTAAGGTCTTTTCTAACCTGAGCAATTCTATAAATTCATTTGCTCTGGATTTTAATGGACTGAAATGAAGTCAGCTCAGTGAACTGGCATGGCAAAAAGGCCAGATGAGCCACTTCCATTATTCTGGTCTGAATTTCATCTCTGATGAAGGCTGTGTCAAAACCTTGCATATCTGTTCTTCCAGAATATTTTAAATGAGAATGCTTTGGAGGTGATCATGGGCATCACCTGGTCAAATTCATATCATTTTTTCCCTGCCTGTCAAGTGATGTGTCTCCCAAGGTGAGATGCTGGAGGGACATCACATGGACATCAGTCCAACTTTTCTATTACACAACACATGCTACAGTGGAAGGGTGTAATTATGAAACACCCCAGCACTTGCAGAGCAGCCTGGTGGTTAAACCAGACACACACTTTGGGTTTTTGTGACACAGTGGAGGTCCATACCCAGTTCTGTTGCTGGCAACCTGAACCACACCCCAGAAGCTGCATGGTGGTTTCCTCCTGTGTAGTGGTTCAGCTGCCACTGACTGTGGTGACAGGTATTTCTGTCCCTTGGAAACTCTTTTCTGTCCAGAAACCCACAGTATGGAGGACATAGCTACTCAGTCATCCTGAAAAAGTATGAAGTACCAGTGAGCCACTTGGAAAATGGCAGCAGCAGAGGTAGAAGAGAACCTGTGGGTCTCTTCAAACAGCTTGTGAAATTATGAGACGTGGTGGCTGCTCTGCATGCTCATCCTAAAGGTCTGTGAGCACATTACCATACAGAATAGGTAATGGCAGCTCTTTAAGAAAGGATAGAGGACAAATGGCTCCTCATCCCAGAGTAATAGAGATGTTCAGAGAATTTCAGGACAGAGATGTCTGAATTTTAATTTAAGGTGAAAAGTGTCCCTGCTGATGGGGATTGCGAGAAGGCTGCTCTACTGCAGGCCTTCTGAACAGCCATTCAAGTGGAGTTAATGTGTCACTTTCAGTCAGAGCACTCTTTTTCCTAGGGCACAAAGAAGGAAAATGGAAATAATTCCGAAAGTGCTATTCTATAGGTACAGAGTACTTGATTTTTTTTTATTTTTATTTTTTTTGTAATCGCTTTTTTTAATTCCTTAAATCCATTTGTCTGTGGTATGTAAAATGCAGTGTTGGTGTGCAACAGCAAGTACTGATTTGTGGTCTGCTGTCAGCACAGTGTAACAATCAAAAGCTTTTTTTCCCCATAGTTAACTGTGCCAGAAAGCTGGCTTTGGGGCACTGCTGCTTTCCTGCAATTATTACAGATTTTTTTCTGCCTCCCCTTGCCTGGAGGTCTTTGTGCTGCCAGGTATAGATCTCACTGACGTCCTCACTGAGGATGTATATGTAAGCAAGAGTGAGAGTTCTGCAGCTAGAAGTATCCAAATACTTTTGTATCAGCTGTTAAAGAAGAGCAGAAAAGTAAGATGTTTCTGTTGCATGAAAGTGAAATCATCACAGAGGCAGGAAGCCAACATATCGGGTTTCTTTGTCATCTTTTCAGAGTTAATAAATGTCCTGCAGCAAAACCCTAATGTTACACAACCTCATGTCTCCCTAAATCAATTTCTCTTCCACTTATGTACATTTTGACCAAGCCATGCCGTACCTATGGCATCTCAGCAATGCCTCATTAAAGCTGCAGCAGGGCAGACTCCATGCTGCTTGCTCTCCTACAACATCTGGCCTGCAAGAAGGTATTCATTCACTTGCTAAAATTAAGGCAAGCCCTGGCATACAGTCATTATGTACATACACAGTAATAGCAATGCTGTGCTTGCAACTGGGAAAAGAAAAGGGCTTTTTTATGGCTAATTGTTCAGTACTCATAGGTGATAGTTATTCCCATCTTGGTGTCCGTGTTGCTCAGTGTTGTGTTTTACCTCTGAAAATGCAGCAAAGTTACATAGGACTTCCTCTTCTTTCTCAATTTTTCCCTTTCCCTGATAGAATTTCGCTACAAAATCAAAGGGATAGAAAGTACAGCTGGTATTTGTTTGCCCAAGGAATTGCTGCCACACAATTACAGCCATTGTATCTTGCATTCTCCACATTGTTGCTGTGAAGTGTGCAGGCAGCCAGCTCAGTGTGTGCAGCAAGTTTTTAGAGGAATTCCTGCATCCAAGCACAATAGGAGGAAAGGGCCAGATCCTCAGCAATCCAGATTCTTACATGAACTCTAATGTTGACAGGGTTTTAGTAAAGCTGCTAAGTGTTGTGTTACATATATGCGAACACACGCATGCGTGAGCATACACCCCATAACAGAGAGATTATAATGCACTTGACCCTGACTGAAAAAAAAATTAGCTCAGTTTTTCCCACAGACCACAGATTGCAAAGCATTTGTTCAAAAGGAAGCTCATCCCTCAGATTCAAATACTCATTAAGCCCATTCCCAATTCAATTTTCAGAGATCTGTCTCTGGGACAGAGAAATCCAGAGATGCTATCACATTAACCACGTACTATTACTATCTGGGCATTTTTCATTTTGTAGAAGAGAAAGGCAGTGAAAGGAGGTGTTAAAGAGTCCCAGTTTTTTTTTTTTTTTTTTTTTTTTTTTCCTCTTCCTCAATGTTCAACCAACTGTGCTAAGAAGTCCTAATAAATCCTCAGCCTGCTAGAAAATTGTCAGTAATTGAAATTCCTGTGACATTCCCTAATCTCCATGTCTCTCTTGAGCCTCTGCTGCTCTCATTGAGGACTTTTAAAAGCTCTTTGTTTCATGTTTTGGGGAGGAAGACCTGGGTAAGTTGGTCACTAAACCATTAACAGGGTGCATCTTTTTGGCTGTGCATTAAAAGGAAGGAAGGAACAATGTGCTCTTACCTTTTGGATGACCTCGGGGACAGCTGTCTCTTTGCTGGCTACTAAGGAAAGCAGGGATAAGAGCGGAGAAAAGAAAATGCCCCACCAGTTTATATAGGCTAGCATGGCTCCTGTTCTGATATCACTAATTAGTTGGTCTCTCCTCCCACTTTGTGAGCTCCAAACAAATGTCAAGAAGGTTCCCTCTTGAATTCCCCACCTTTCCTCTTGTTCTGTCCTTGGTCTCTTGCCAAAAGCCTCTCCAAATGTCGTCTTCCCTGCTGCTTTTTTTGTTGTTTTTGAACTAAGTCTCCTTTAACTCCGTCCTTTCTCCTCCAAAATTAAGAGAGACTCCAAACTTCCAAGCAGACTCTAAGTATACCTACACCGGACCTCTCCAATGTTAATCTCTGTTACCCAGGACCTCTCAGCATATTTCTTTCCTCCCCTCCTTCTCAAAAATGTTGCTTTTACGGTGATGAGGAAACTCGATTGCAGATGTGTTGATGTTCCTGCTGTGAAGGTTTTAGAGCTACCACAATAACATGCAGCCTGCTGGATTCAGCTGTTTCTGGGCAGTTTTTGGAGCCACTATTCTGTTAACAAACTGGAATGGAAGACTTGGTTCCACTGTCTAATTTTTCTTTCTTTTTTTTTACCAGTTGAGGATTTTTTTTCTTTCTTTCTTTCTTTCTTTCTTTCTTTCTTTCTTTCTTTCTTTCTTTCTTTCTTTCTTTCTTTCTTTCTTTCTTTCTTTCTTTCTTTCTTTCTTTCTTTCTTTCTTTCTTTCTTTCTTTCTTTCTTTCTTTCTTTCTTTCTTTCTTTCTTTCTTTCTTTCTTTCTTTCTTTCTTTCTTTCTTTCTTTCTTTCTTTCTTTCTTTCTTTCTTTCTTTCTTTCTTTCTTTCTTTCTTTCTTTCTTTCTTTCTTTTTCTTTTTTTTATTTTTTCCCCCCCTTCTGCATTTTTAACATTGCCTCCCTAGCCTGCTGGAGGAATCTGGATTATCACAAGTGTGGCATATTTGAGAAGTTTATAAGACTGTGAAATATCTGTGAAAGGCAGAGATGAAGCTGGAGAGGAGAGTTTTGAAAGACTGAATAATAGGAGAAACAGCAGCAAAAAATCTTGTGAACTTAAGGAACCTGTCAGGCTAATTTAAACCACAGCTACATTCACTTTAGGACTCTAAAAGAGTGATGGCTTAGAGAAGCAACCCTGCAACTTCATCTGACTGCCAGAGTAATGAGTTGTTGAATAAGAACCCATCTAGCTTTATGACTTTGTTCCCAGCTCAGGGGAAATAGAGTGTGTGTTCCGTGAATGAAGTGATGTTGTTTGCATTGTGTTAATTCCCAGGATGCATCTCTTTTGATGGAGATGTTTTTAACAGGTACTGGTGCAGAAGAGTGGGAATGTTGGAAAATGTTGTATGTGTGTGCAATTAAATCTATGCCAAGTTAGGTGCCAACCTGCCAACCTAAATACTTGATGAAGTATGTCTTCATGCTCTGATCTTTTGGAATTTGGGCTTCAAGGGAAGACTGGAAGAGGCCATTCCTTGAGAAGGCTCTGAGAAGTCCTCCTGGACAGAGATCAGTGGTTGACATTGTCAGAAGAGGGTTTGGTGGCTGGATCCCAATCGGACTTAGTACTTGAGCTATTTGGAGAAGTGCCAGAATGATCAGGCAGGAGCTGAACTAGCTGGGCACAGTGTTTGAACGTGTCAGCTCTGCCAGGAAACACTCATATGGCCCTAAACCAGCTTCACATGCTCTGTTTCCGTGCCTTTCTCAAGGCTCTGTTGCCTTCAAGAGGGAAAATCACTTAGCAGATTGCCATTATGCTGATGGTTTTGGCTGTATTCCTTGGCTCCAGTTGCACTACATGGATCAGTTCTTTACAGGGAGTTGCAGCAGCTCCTGGACTCAACAGGTACTCTGAAGTGACATAAATCCACATATGCAGCTCTGCAGATTGCTAAAACTCAGAACATATCCTGACTCTGCTAGGTTGGGCTGTTTGTGAAGTGTGGATGGTATTTGCAGGTTATCTCTCACTGGTGTGCAGGTCAGTCATGGGACACCATTAAAAAGAGTCTGACTGCCTTTTTTTATTCTCTCATCAGATATTTGCACACAGCAATAAATATTCCGGCAAACATTCTCTTCTCCAGGGGAAACAGTCTCATCTCCCTCAGCCCCATGTACTTCCCAGCTGGGTGCCCTGTAGACCCATTTCTCCAGCCTGCTGAGTTTCATCTGGATGGCAGTATGACCCTCTCTTTGGTATATTTGCCATTCCCCTGAGTTCTGTATCTTCCATGGGTTTGCTGACGTTTCAAATTACCCTACATCCCAGATCATTAAGATAATAACCAATTTTTCATGCAGACGGTGGTGAGGCACTGGAACAGGTTGTCCAAGGAGGCTGTGGATGCCCCATCCCTGGAGGTATCCAAGGCCAGGCTGGATGTGGCTCTGGGCAGCCTGGTCTGGTGTCTGGCAACCCTGCACATAGCAGGGGGGGGTTGAAACTAGATGATCTTTGTGGTCCTTTTCAACCCATGCCATTCTATGATTCTATTTTTGTTTTGATTCTATGTTTGAATTTTTGTTGGGTAACAACACTATTGACTGGCCTCTATCTGATTTTGTTCCTCTGATTACAGCACTTTGGGTTCAAGCATTCAGGCAGTTTTCAACCCACCTTTCTGCTCACTTATCTTAAGCACATCATTAACTTTTCTATGGAGATGTTACAGCAGACAGCCCCAAAAACAGTGCTCCAGTGATTTAAATCTAGGATAACACACTTTATAAGTCATCTCTGCAGCTCACCTAGACTAACCTCCTGCTGTAATACTTACTGAACTAATAACTCGGATTGCTCCAGTCTCTTTTTTTTTCTATAGGTAGGTGATACTCAGCTCGGATGCTGGCTGGGGAGGCAGAAATCGTAGCAAGTAAAGGCTGAGATATTCTGGAGGCCAGGTACCTGGAGAAACACCAGCAAGTCTGTTCCCATCAGTGTTTGTGGCCACATTACTTTTATCATCTTGTTTTTATGAGTAAAAACAGAGTGGAAATTTTTGTTTCAGCAGAGAGCATGCAAAGAGTCTGTCATAATCTTGCATTTGTTTGGTGAGCGAAATAGTTTTGGGTTTAGAATGGACCAAAAGCCATGCTAATGCAGGCAGCTTCTGACCCTTCAATTTGGCCTGTAAAAATTCTCTGGACAAAGCTGTTATTTGACATTCCTCAGCATGATGGCTGCACAGTACTTTCTCTAGCAAGTTGCTATCAGGAATACAGGCAAGGAGAGCCGTCCAGCTCTGTTGTTCATCTCCCTCTTGTGGTATGTCTCTGGTACTGCTGCGTATACAGCTATAAAAATCAGCAGATACTCTGTGAAGTTCCAGAAGCCCTGTGAATATCAATTCCCTGTCCCTGGCTTAGCTCCCCAGGTTCTGGGGACTCTGGACACTACTGATGATGCATGCTCCAAATATTAAGTAGGTCTCATAGCACACACATTCTATGTACTTGCTCTGGAGGCCCTCTCATAGGTTTGTACTCTTCCTGCAGACCAATGTGCTGAGTGTTGGGTTAGCAAGCAATACGTGACTTATTTGTGGATTTTCCAAGGTGTGTATTTAAAATATTGCTAACAGGAGTAAATAATAGCTTTGAGCAGCCCAAGGCCTCACCTGACAATATTTGCGCTTTTGGTTCGCTGTCTAGGTAGCAATGATGAGCTGCTCCCCTACACAATTCTATTTACTAGCACAGAGGTGGCTGTGGCATTGAGTACAGGAGATATCTTTGAAGGATACCCAAAAAAATTGAGTGATGTATCTCAGGAAGCCTGATGGAATACAAGTAAAAGAAGAACTAAGTTTATTTATCTGGTTGAATCCCCCCCTTTGAATTTGTTTTCCATTTTCCTGGCAGTACCACCCCTTTTCTTATGAGCAGTGGGCACTTCAGGGCACAGGCCTGGAAACCTGTGCATTTGTCTGGAAGACAATAATCTCTGGTACAGCTGTTTTTACCTTCAGACACCTTCGTATCCTCTCCTCTTTCCCTGTTTTGTACATCTATCCTGGAGGAGGGAAAATCAGTTCTGCTGGCACTTGGTGTGATCCTGTTTGTTCTTTGCTCAAGGTTCTAGGAGCTGGTGGTGAGCAAAGCTCTCTGCCTCATGCCGTGCATCCGAATCTTGAGGCTTCTTGGTTCCAATGTCACTTGTTCCTTTGTAGACTGCATCAGCCAGATTGAAACCTCTTGAAATGCTAGAGAGTTTGAAAGCCAAGGCTAAGCATATCATTGTGTTTCGGCACTTGTGTTTCAGGAAACTGCAACTCAATTCTTAATTTCAGCTTCATAGAATTGTAGAATCACTTGGGCTGGAAGGGACCTGAAGCTCCAACCCCTCTGCCACATACAAGGCTGCCAATCATCACATTTAATGGGCATTAAACCATTTAACCTGACCAGGCTTCCCAGGGCTCCATCCAACCTGGCCTTGAACATCTCCAGGTCTGGAGCATCCACAGCCTCTCTGGGCAGCTGTTCTAGCACTTCACCACTCTCATAGTAAACAACTTCCCCCTGATATCCAACCTAAATTTCCCTCCTTCAAATCCCTGCCCTGTGTTTCTGGCTCCACGAAATAGCCCAGATCCAAAGGGGTTCATTTTCCAAATCTATCTCAAGACAGCCCGAACTTCATGAGAATGTTAAAGCTGGCCACATTTTCCTCATTTTTATGATGCAAGACAAAGTGTTTTTTGCTGCTTCCTCCAATTTTGCAGTTTTAGGCAGTTCACTGAACACCCCTGCATCTGATCTCAGCTTACTTTGAGTTTGTCTTCCTTTCTCCTTTGTCCCTGATAATGGGGATTTCAGTCCCTCCCTGCTTTCAAGGAAATAATCCAATCTCACACGCCTGTACATTATAGGACAGGCAGCTGTTGGGCCTTAGCAAAGAGTGGAACACTGACTTGATTCCAGGAAGAAACTCTTTTAATATATAAATCCCAGTGGCTACTATTTTCTTGCTAAGCAGGCTGTAATAGAAGTGGAAGCCGCTGTGCATGGCACGAGTTGCAGGTCTAATCAATTAAACAAAGAGGACCAGTTGCTTCTGGAATTGGATCATCAGACAGTGGGAAGAAGTAGAAGTTAATAATCAGTATAATGTTTAGTGGTGTAGCTGCACTGGCTGTAAATGCTTGAGGGATTTTGTAGGCAGAACTCCACAGCAGCATTTTCATATATGC